ATACACCAGAAGCATGAATTGGAGTGCCAGGCTCAAATGCCAAGGAGCACCCTCCGTGAGAGCACTGGCTTTGGCGTCCTGATACCCAAATAGGAATTTAAAGACTGCTAATGCAAAGTGGCAGAAGAGCCTAATTTAGAGTCCTTGAGCCAAAGACCAGGGGAGCTTCTAAGCCAGGTCACTGAGGAAGAGGGAAGCAAGCAGTTAGGAGGGGTGAATGTATGCATTTGGGGTGGAGCAGAGCTACAGAGACAGGAGAAGAGCTGCAGATTTCTGTGGTGCAGTTTTAAAGTTACTGCTTGAGAGATAGCGAATAAGGCTAACAACATTATCAACTACTTAAATATATGGTATCTCAAGAATGCATTGTATTTGGGAAACTCCAGAGGTGTAGTTCAGTGGACAGCTATAAGATAACCTTAGGGTGATTGTGGCAAGACTTTAGTAACTAGAAAATGTTTTACCTGGAGGTAAGACTCAAAATGATCCTGGTGATGTTTTATCAATCAACCAACAAATCTCTGTTGACTAAGGTCCCTGTTCTTGAAATGAGCTTTCTTAAATGTTTATGAAAAAATGCATTATCTGATTATGAGAGCGACAGTTCTGCCATCATTTTAATTTTACTCTATTTAGTTGGGAAACTTAAAGTTCAGCTTTTTAAGTTTCCTTTGGCAGCTTACTTTGCTTTTCCTACCTCGAATGCCCATTGAACCCCAATGAGAACTCTTATAAAGAGAACTGCAGAAAGAGGAAATGGAGAAAAATCTGCTCTAATGATTTACTATCATCTTTGGTAGGAGAAGGGAAATGCGCTGCCTACAGACCTATGATTTTTAGAGACAACTGAAGCCAGAGTAAGAAGACTGTCCTTAAAATGGTGGTGTGTACAATGCCTATCTGTTTGTGGATCATTCTCTCATTGATCCCTTGCAGCTTAACTACTGGGAGGAGAAATCAATAAGAGAGAAGCAAGGTCATTCAACATCAGGTTATTGCATAGGAATGAGAAGGAAGGCTAGGAACCGGCATTGGGCTTTGGCTGGGCTTCATAACAGCACCCTGGCTGACTCTGGACACATCAATCCCTCTATCTCAGCTCATGCAGCTACCAAATAGATGTGGGAAGAGAGTCAGGTACCATCTATGCAAGACAGGGAACCTCAAGTTCAATGTTATTACATTGCCTCCCTGTGCAACTCTTACAGGTCATCTTTCCTGGGAGAATTTATGGGAACTGATTTTTCCCTTATCAGGCTTCCTCTTTCCCATCCTTGAAAAACATATTTTATGTGTCAGACACTATGTTCCGCAATTTTTATATACATTGTTTAATTGAATCCTCCCAAGAAGCTCAGAGAAGTGTGTGGGAGTCACTGGTGAGTGGTCAACCCTGGCCTCCTTGCTAGGCCAGCCTCTTCTGCCTCACGTTTGCCACACTGGAAACATCTGGAGACCATTAAAGACAATAATAACAACACAACAATGGACCGATGCGGGGCCCGCCCCAGGCTCGGTGAATCAGACTCTCTGCGGTGTGGAGCCAGGGCTTCAAAACTCTCCCAAATGGTGGATGCTAATGTGCAGCTTGGCTTGAGAACCATGCTGTTAGCCCATGCTAGCTTTCCAAAATGAGAAGGAAAAACAAGAAGGAAAAAGGAAAATGCATAAGACTAACATTTACTGAGCCCCTACTACACACCCAGTGTGTAATCTTATCTAATCCTCCCATACAACGGGGTAAATTATTCCCATTTTACAGATTTGAAAACTTTGGAGTTACTTAACCACAGAGATTAAGGAATTTACCCCAAATTACGGAGTTTATAAATGGCAGAAAGGTGATTTGAGCCCGGGTTGTGTTCATGTTACTACACCACATAGCTAAGAAACATGCCTCTGGCCCACACTGAGGACTCAAGAGACATCAAGCCAGGCTTATAAGAATGTAAGCTTGGAGCACAGGAGAATTTGAGTAGAGTGCAATAGCAAGTTATAGAGGGTTTCCAAGGAGAACAATAAGGTGGAAGTACCTGAGAGGAGAGAGAAAAGCATGGTGCATCAGACAAGAGAAAGAGCAGAGGCAAAGCATAAGGAACTACTTCTATTACATTCACTACCTGAATTCTCACAGCAACCCCGGGCAGTAGGAACTATAATCATTCCACTTCTGCAGATGGGAAAACTGAGGCCCAGTGAGGTTAAGCAACACCTGCAGGTTACACAGCTGGTAAGTGGCACAGTGTGGATTCCAACCCCAGGTCCAGGGTCCTAACCACACACAGTTTACTCACCGTCACTTTTCAAAGGAAGAGTAAGAAGAAGAGCAGCAAACAGGATTCATTTTGTTTAATGCTCTGGGGCAGACACTGTACATTCATTATCTCAATGAATCAGTGAATTCTGGGAATCACTTCATCCTTGTGGAGAGACTATGGCCTCTAATTTGAGTCAAGGAAGCAGGCTGGCCAGGGTTAAAGTATTTCACTTAAGGTCTCAGTGAAACTGAAGCAGCAGTTCCATACCCTAGGTTTAGTGTTCAAACCCTAATTCAGTTTACTCCAAACCCATGTTCCACAAGAACAACACTAAAGTTAGAAGTAGCATTAAAATACAAAGGGTCAACAAACACGGCACGTAGGGCTCTGTGTATGGAAAAAACAGACCGTGGGAGAGGATTGAAATGGATTTCATTAGGAACAAGGAAATATTTTAATTTTGTTTGGTCAGGGAAGAACTGCAAATAGCCAGCAGAAAGTGATTTGGAAATAAACATTCGAAACAAATGCCAGATATTCTTATCTTCACTGGTTATTGAATTTAGGCACAATCATCTTACCGGAGAGTAAATAACCTGTATGTGCAAGGGCTTCCCTTAGTGCCTACCTGTGGCTGTGAAACGCCAGCAGAATGGTCACATTTGATTGCATCTGACCTTGAAAACTTGACTTCAGTTGCGTTCTTTAACCACTCCTTTCCCTCTACAACGTTTAGCACTATATATATATATATATTATTGATTTCAGAGAGAGGAAGGGAGAGGGAGAGATAGAAACATCAATGATGAGAGAGAATCATTGATTGGCTGCCTCCTGCTTGATCTACATTTCATTTTTAATTGAAATTACTTTTGAAGCCTGACTGGCGTGGCTCAGTAGTTGAGCTTCGACCTATGAACCAAGAGGTCACAGTTTGATTCCCTGTCAGGGCACATGCCCAGGTTGTGGGCTCGATCCCCAATAGGGGGTGTGCAGGAGACAGCCGATCAAGGATTCTCTCTCATCATTGATGTTTCTATCTCTCTCTCCCTCTCCCTTCCTGAAATCAATAAAAACATAATTTTTTTTAAAAAAAGAAATTACTTTTGAAGTTTGAAAAGAATATGTGATTTTGATTAAAATAATAAATTTAAGAAAGTAAACATGGAGGGAAGCCCGTGTGTAACCACCATCACTGGTGCGCAGCCTCCCAGGTCATTCGCTGTGCACATGCAAACATGAATTTGTCAGCATTAGCAAAATCGGTTCAATTCTTTGTTGGGTAAACAGTCTTGGTGTTTTCCATTCCTGCAGGAGCTGGAAGAAGAGATCTCTTAAAAACCAAAACAATTACATTTCAGGCCCAAGAAAAGTACAAGGCGAAGACATCGTTGTAAATGGGAGTTGAAATCCTCTTTTCTCACTGGAGTGGGAAACAGAGATTTGATAGGAGAATCAGCTCATCTCCCCTACAGCTCCTTTTATGGCCCTTACATAGAGGAAGCATTCAATTAGTATTTCCTGAAGGAATTTCCCTTTTATGGTGGTTTTATTTTGGGCTAAATAGTGTCAATACCAAGAATAATAGAAACACATGTATACTCACGTAAATGTTATAAAGAATGCTCCAAAGAAAATTACATATTTTATAGTCATCCATTTTGGATCATTCAAGCCAGGATCCACTTCCATTTTTCCTGCAAGTAATATATAAAATTAGCCCCGTTACTTTTGACCTCTTTTGAGACTTTGCCCCATCATCATCAGTCACATGACTTTTCATGCGAGCAAACTTTGTTCTCTCCGATGAATTATAAGCTCGGAGAGGGTGGGCCGACTTCCTTTGTGCTGTCCCAGCACGTGGCACATGCTCTGCACACAGTCAAGGCTCAATCAATGTTGGTTGGCTTTACAAACTATAATAAGTTTGCTAGGGCTACCATAACAAAATACCACAAACGGGATGGCATACACCACAGAAATGTATTATCTCACAGCTCCGGAGGCAGATCTGAAATTGAGGTGTGGGCAGGATGGGTTCCTTCCGAGGGCGCTGAGGGAGGGTCTGCTGCAGGCCTCTCCTGCGGATGGCTGGCTTCTCCGTGTGTCTCTTCAGGTTGTCTTCCCATGTACATGTCTGTCTCGGTGTCCCCTGATTTTAAAAAATGTTTTTATTGATTTTTGGAGCAAGAGGAAGGGAGAGGGATAGAAATAACGATGAGAGAGGAACATCATTGATAGGCTGCCTCCTGCACACCCCCTACTGGGGATGGAGCCTGCAAATCGGGCAGGTGCCCTGGTTGGAATGGAACTGGTGACTTCTTGGTTCCTGGGTCGATGCTCAACCCCTGAGCAACACCGGCCAGGCTCCAGTCATATTGGATTAAGGCCCACCCTAATGATTTCATCTTAATTAATTATATCTGTAATTAATTATATCTGTAATTAATTAATTATATCTGTAATTTTCCATATAAGGTAAAATCCTGAGGTGCCTGAGGTTAGGACTTCAACATATGCATTTGGGGGGAGAGGGGACACAATTCACCCCACAATAGTGACCTGACACAGAATCATAAAATATTCACAGTGAGAAGAGGCCTTCCACATCCTTTACTTTGCCTACCTGAACCCGGATTCCCCCTTCCTCCAGGCCAAGGAGAACATTTCGGATTTTAATATTTTTGGAAACAGGAGTTTAGGGTCGTTTCGCTTTGTAACGTGTCTGTGTGTGCCTTTCAGAATGGTTCCCACTGCTTAAACCTCAGAGCCTTCAGAACGTCTGGAACAGGTGAGTACCACCTTGGGAAGCAGGGTTTGAAGGGGCGTTTTCCCGACCTCAGTCCATGGAGCACCTCGTTCCGGGGCCCATGCCCCAGGAAGAGGCCTCTGGGAGAGCCAGCCACCTGGGAGCCTGAGGGTTTTTCTCTATGAACCATTTTACTTTCACTGCGTTTGGTCATTAAAATTGTTCTGGGCCCCTCCACCATGCCCGAGGCCTTGAGAACAGGGAGTGTTGGCCTGCAAGAAAACCTAGTGGGTTTATTATTCCCCGACACAGAGAAACCAAATAACATCATTGAGTGGCGATTGGAGGGGGGGCGGCTTGATTCATGGGGGTCATGCTTTCCCAGGCCCTCTCCACCCAGTCTCGGCGCAGACCAGGGCCGACTTTTATTACCAGCTTTCAACAAATCCCTAGTTTCTTTTGCAAAGTAAAACAGATAATAGCGACATTCCCGGAATAGTTAGCTAACTAAGCCGTGCCAGGCAACCTCCGGGCTAAGAAGAACTCAGTGTTTTCGGACAATGACCAATTACAATAACCAGTATTATTTGATCTGAGAGTAATTAGCCGAGGCTCTGTTCTTTTTGCTCCAGTGAAGAGGCAAAAAGGGCAGTGAGGGAAACATCAGAGACAGGGGAACAGGCTCAAATGTCAAAGAAAAACACACTCTCGCAGGTGGGGAGGAGGGGGGAGATCCCAACGGAACATTCCATGTTGTTCTTCCCTGAAAATGTGGTCGTGTTGAACCCAACCAAATTCCGTTTCATTCCCCCAGACACAGCGTTCACGCGCCTCAGAAAGCCTCCATGTGGAGTGCCTACCAGAGTGCAAAGAGTAGCGTAGGTCGGGATGTAGAGCCATGAATTAGCAAAGGATCTCTTATTGGGAGCCACCTCTCCCCCCACCCCCATAAGGATGTCCGCACACCCACACTTATTTTCAAATGCACTGCACCCCCCGAAAGTCCCTGTTGTTTTGAAGACAAGCTCCAGGGAACTGCTGTTTATCATTTCTTTCAAAAAGTGCGAATGTTCTCTGGCCAGCGTACAGGCCCCCCCCCGCCCATCTAGATAGATGTATTTTAGCACCGCCTCCGTGGCTTACACCGGGAAGACCAACATGAGACTAGCTCGCAGGAGGAGAAGCCTTCGTTGGTACACTTTGCCCTGGCCGCTGACTCTGCCAGCCAAGGAGCAGAGGGAGTGGGTGGTGGCGGTCATAGTGTGGAGGCCGAGGGACTGAGACCCATTCTGACACCAGTAGAAGCCTTGGTACAACCTTGTGGGAAGGGTGCGGGGAGGGTTAGTTCATTGAGGAGGAAAGTCCTAAAACAGAAGCCCTCCTGTCATCAATCAGGACCTACTCTCCTTTCTTTGAATTTTCTGGTAAGACTGGCCTGTTCTCCCCATGTGTCCCTACTATCCCCTGAGCTCCATCAGCTTTTCCTGGCTTCCCCAGCCATCGGCGTAAACAGCCTAAATAAGGCAGTATGCACGCCCTGCTCACACTAGTCCACAGCAGTCCTGCAGCCTTCCTCGCCTGCCTGGTAACAATTCAATTGTGAGGAGCTCACAGGTGGGAATGTGCGGAGGGAACAGAGCGCTGATTGGGGTGGGAGTGTGGAGGTGGGCGCCGATAGATGCATTGCTCTCTCCTCACTATAGCCACCTACCCACCCACCCCCTGGGAATTCACAGAGTGGGTTCAGGCCCCAAGTTTGGCACACATCCTTCCACCCTACAGCAAGGGTGAACCTAGAACCGTTTTCTCACAAGGTTTTCCCTGAATCTCCATCTGGAGTGATACCAGGCCCTAGTGATTCGTACCAGATTTCCCACTCCAACCCCATTTCATCAGTCCTGAAAACCCAAACCTGGACAGGGCACCCGTACCCACTAGCCCTTCTTCCGGCTACCAGCTACCGGGCAGGCCTCTGCCCAGGTTTCCTTGTCTTCTAATTGGCTTGGAAATTTGCAAGGACTGAGGATTTGCAAATGTTTCCTTTAAGTCTATAAAGCAATGACTCTTGAGTGTGAGGGTAAAGTTACCTGTTTGTAGAAACAGTTTCATGTCATGGGAATGAGACACCTGAAAGTGTATCATGTAAATCTTATGCAAAAATTAGGCAAATTAGGATTCTGGGCCAGGAGTCCCAGCATCCCCGCATCCTGGACGGGTGTCAGCTCTCTGTGCTTCAGGCTGGTAGGATAGTTGACATTAACTAAGCCCCACTATTTTTGCTTAGTTGGCGATTTGCATGGCCATGCAATTTAATTCTGAATGTCAGACATCAGCCCTGTGGTTAATTGCCTCCTGGGACCTGCTCCTGTGGCTTTCCCCTTGTAAACCCTTCTGCGGGCTCTAGAGATGGGTGTACTTAAATGACTGGCACTCGATTAGCAAAGACTTTCAAACATTGTAAGTAAATGGGAAGCATAAAGGCCCACAAGGCCTGGAGGATTAGCCCCTGCCACCTTCCCTGTCTTCAGATCTGTCCCCACTCTTTGTCCAGGCCACCCCACGGGCCTTTCTCCCCTTAAAGTCACTCCTCTTCCCTCCACCCCAAGATCTGTATGAGCACCACAGATCTCTGCCTACATCGCCTACCCCAGTTCCTCAGCCCTCAGCTCAAATGCCGCTTCCTCAGGGAAGCCTTCCCTGACCAGCTCCTCCCACTCTCAGTCAGGTACCTGGGCCTTTTCCTTCACAGTTGTACTCGCACGTTTGTCTGATAATTTATCTAGTGTCTGACTCCTCTGCTAGACCAAGCTGCCAGAGGGCAGAGTCTTGCCTGTATCTCTCAGAGCCACGCATCTACAACACATAGTAGCTGCTCAACTAATGGATTTCCTCATCTCCAGCTTTGTAATTCAACATCAGGCCAACACGAGGCTCTGTCCTCACTGTAATTCGGGTACTTAACTATGTCTCTTTCCAGGCTCCATCTCAGGGAGAACCAAGAGAGCATCTTGCCTCAGGACCCTGGGAGCTGAGCTTCAGACGCACTGTACCTCAGGGTGTTTTCCACCCGAGCTTTCATTGCTTCTCTCCCTCCTCCCCCGGCAGGAGTCTGTGCTTGCTGCCCTGGGAGCATGTTTCCAGTAGGGCTTTTCTGCCGTGTCCCTCAAAGAAGAGTCCTTAATTACATATTTCTGCTTCTGTAATTATAATTCTGGATCCTTTATGTATACACTAGAGGCCCACTGCGTGAAATCGCATGGCCACGCTCGCAGCCCTGCCCACCTGCCCACTGCCGCGGGACCCCAGACCCCCCTGCAGACCCCACCACGCCTCCTGGTGACGGGTCGTTTGGTCGTCTGGGTTTTTATAATACAGATGGTGCCAGAGACACTATGGAGGCTGGCGGGGGAGGTGGGTGAACGATAGAACACAGATTTTCCCTTCCTCTTAGTAACAGGACAGGTAAGAGCTTCCGTGTGGGGGTGATTTTTCCACTTGCCATCAACGTTACTAATCCCAGGAAAATTCTGTTTGACACACCCTTTTCTTTACTGTTCTTCTTTCCCCGTTTATTTTTTTGGAAGGGAGTTCTCTAGAGAAACTCACTTTTTCTCCCCCACGTTTTCAGGTTGGGCAGGATTCCGGAAGCCGAAGACCTGGCCTCGCAAATGCTGAAAGGCTTCCCTAGAGACCGCGTCTCCGCCCAGGAGGCCCTGGTCCATGATTATTTCAGCTCCCTGCCATCTCAGCTGCACCAGCTTCCCGACGGTGAGTGAGCGTGTGTGTGTGTGTACACACGTGTCCGTCTCGGTGCGAAGTATTTCCTCTGAGCCCTGGAGAATGATAGACTTGACAGCCAGAAGTGAGCTTGGAGATCAATTAGCCCGGGAGAAGCAAGATGGGACCCATCTCGCTTGAGTGTTGCATGAGATTCTCTCAGACTCAAAGGCACGGGAGGATTGAGGTGACACAGACCTCCCTGTGATGATCCAAACATTTCCCACCACACACACTTACTCTGCGAAACTGGGTGAGACGAAAGTTGCCCTGGAGCTGCTTGCTTTCGCGGGCATCTGCCAGGAGCAGCAGAACCAAAGCTGCTAACAACCCCGTCTCTCTCCACAGAGAGTAAGATGAGAGGTGACATGGATATGTCAGAGAGGAGGCTGAGCGGGTCTTGATGGGTGATCTGATGCTGCCAAGGGAAGTACCGAGGCGGGCGCCAGGGGAGGGGAGCGTCCGCCAGGCCGGAGGCCCATGGGAAACACAAGTTACCCTGAAATCAGCTTAGCTGCCGGGGCCTGAAGTCATCCTCCAAATCTGCAATCTGCTGAGGGATCATGTGGCCGGAGCTCTCCTCGTGTTTCTCCGACTGCGGCCAGGAAGGGCTGCGCAGAGGATGTGGGCGGTGCGGTCATGCCCGGCTGTTGGGGGGGGGAGGGGGCGGACTAGCCTTAGGTGGGGTTTCTTTGGAAACACCCACCATTCAACTGTAAGCAGTTTTTAGGAGTCCTAAGCTGGAGAGAAGAAAGCTAAGAAGAAGGGTCTAGGACAGTGATGGCGAACCTTTTGAGCTCGGCGTGTCAGCATTTTGAAAAACCCTAACTTAACTCTGGTGCCGTGTCACATATAGAAATTTTTTGATATTTGCAACCATAGTAAAACAAAGACTTATATTTTTGATATTTATTTTATATATTTAAATGCCATTTAACAAAGAAAAATCAACCAAAAAAAATGAGTTCGCGTGTCACCTCTGACAAGCGTGTCATAGGTTCGCCATCACTGCCTTAGACAGTGGTTCTCAACCTTCTGGCCCTTTAAATACAGTTCCTCATGTTGTGACCCCCAACCATAAAATTATTTTCGTTGCTACTTCATAACTGTAATGTTGCTACTGTTATGAATCATAAT